GTGGTGGTCCATCCCGTCTCAAGGCAGAACATAGGCGGGTTTGGTGGAGCATCACCAGGTAAAGGTGAAGAGGCCGGACAAGTGGGTTCCTGCACTTTTTGCGATGTTGATTTCTTTAGGTCTTCAACCATGGAAAGAAATGAATGATTAACTTAAAGTTACATATAACTCATGAGGTCTTAATTAAGAACTCGTTATCTGTCACTTGACGGACTGGGTTGTAAGTTTTCTGCTGTGGTCTATTGTGGAAGCCCATTTGTGCCTCAACAAAAAAAAAAAGGTAACTGTGAGAGTTTAAAATAACAAATAGTAACCCTTGTTGTTATTCTTAACTAAAATCTAATTCTATTCTTAACTAAAAAATAAATCAAATGAAATAAAATAAAAATATGAAATGAAAAACCTGAACTGACAAACTAAACTGGCAAACTAACTGAAAGAAATTAAGTTGAAGTAACAATTACTCACACAGTAAAACTGAAATAGATTAATTTAAAGCTAAATAAAAACTATAAAAAATAACAGAAACGACAAAACATAAAATTACTAAAACTTACAACTAAATGAAAAAGTAAAAGAATAAAAGCTAATTCAAAATATACATATAAAAATGCTACAATATGTTATAAATAATACTAAACCAACACTGATAGTAAAACTGCCAGATATAAAGTCGCAACACTAAATATGAAGTCACGAATATGAAAAATAGCTGCGATTATCTTTTTATTATTCTTTTTTACTGAGGCACAAATGGTCTTCCTTAAAATATAGACTTTGGTGGCATCCAAAATATAATTTTTCTTCCCTGAAAATTATATAGTACATAAATCCTATAGCATTAAATTCTGAGAAGAGCAGAAATTTTCAAGGCATTTATTTACACATCCTCTGGACATGATTTACCTTGTTTACTTTGCATTACCTGTGTTGGAGGTTATGTAATCCATCTTTTCCCCTTTAATTTTCCCATTCAGCAGTCGTGAGTTGCGTTCCTGGTGGCTGATTTTGTGACGGAGGCTGTTAATTTCTCTGCGCAGCAGGCGCATGCGCTTTGTGCGACCTCCGCTGGTGCGCATAGATGCCACCAGATCCAGTTTGTCCAGCAGGGTTTTCAGCTGGTCCTCAGGACACATGTGCACACGATTTTCAGGGTCCAAGAGCAAGTCAACTGGAAGTCATTTGACAGAAAGGAAAATTGAATGATTAATATTCAGGCATCGTGGGCTACATTTATTATGTTTTTTTATCCTTTCTGAAGCTTTAAAATGACATGAAGGCAAGCATACAATTACAGAATTTACATGTTTTAATCATGTCATTAAAAGGCTATACACTATTTTGGGGACTTTTGGTTTTGGAAGAAGCACACATGAATGTTCACCTTCATCCCACCAGGAAACTGTGGCGTTGTGTGTGCTGGCCTTTTCTGGCAGGTGCATGCCTGTGCTGGGATCAAGGCCTATGCTGAGAGCCTGAAGTTGGGCATGTCTCAGAATAGCTCCGCCCACCTCCCGAAGTTGCATGGCAGTTTCGTGGAACACTGTGTCATTGGAGTTGTATCTCAGACAGTTGGATATCATGAGATTGAAATCACTTTCCAAGTCAGCCACCGATGAGTATTTATGGGCCTCCAGCTTGTCGTGCATCGAAGAGAAGTCCATCGGCTCAGAAACAAACTCCAGATAGTCTGGAACCTGGGAAAACATTAAAAAGGATTTTCCTTGCTCTCTTAAAATGCTCTCTTAACACGGCTAAATGAAAGGAAATTTTAAAAACTGTGTTATTTCCTCACCTCCTTCAAACTGACCGGTAAGGTGAAAATATGATCAGTGTCTTTCTCCTGCAGCTGCTCCAGTGTAGAGCGCAGAAACACCAGTGCTGGGGTGAGCTGCAGCTCCAGCACAGCCTGCTGAAGTTTCATCTTACCAGAAAAGAGAGCCAAATTAAACCGATGCTGAGAATTAGTAATTACCTCAGGCCTGTTCTGGCAATAAGTGATGGTTTGCAGAGAACAGGGCCGTGACAATGTAACAAAAGAACATTACAGACATGAATGGATCTGTGTCACCTGTTCTCTTTTAAGTCTCTCCCTCTTTCTTATGAGCTCAATAAGAAGTCGAGCTTTTTCCAGGTCCTGACGAAGCTTCTGCCAGTACTTTAGCTCTTCTCTGACAGCCTGCAACTTTGCATCTGGCTCTCTCTAAAAATGAAAAAAAATAAATAAATCAGTGAATGTAATGCACGTACAAGCAATCTGAGGTCTTTTAACACACTCAGTAAGTAATATTTTTGTCCTATGCAGAATTCTGCAGAAAAGATTTGAAAACATGATCAAATTAGCCATAATATGTAATAAACAAACAAACATGGGGCAGGGAACGTGTGAATGACGAGTGCTGCAAATTTGTAGAAATCGGCAGCACTTTCTGCTGTCACAGATTCTGTGTGGGCTTGGTTATTAACAGTTGGAGAACCCATTATTTACACTCTTTACTGTCAATAAAAGCGTAATGTGTTACAGCACACTAACCTGCTCTGACTTCTGAGCCTGTTGATGAGAATGGAGCCGGCGGATGAGCGGCACTCCATTACGAGAGTGACGCTTTAGCAGCCAGTAATTGTGGAGCCTCTGCATAAACTGATTCTTCCTTTCAACAGAAACCCCTGTGCAAATCTTGTTGAGCCTATTTAAAAGATATCATAAAGGCTAATTGTTAAATTCTACATGAAACATACACAACCTGTTTCTCATCTGTAATGTAACACATTTCTAAAGTAACACAGGATATCTAATTATGTTCATTTTATCCATTAGGATTATAAAAAGCAAGTGTTCAATACTAAAACAGATCTAGACCTAGATGCGCTCGTAAAGGACTTTGAAATATGTCTGTATCCAATTTTTTAAGGCAGGGCCTGAAGGTCAAGTTCATCCTCAAAAGCATCTTGATGTATCCCAATAATAATGCTTTAAGTATATATTTGTTTGCCATAACATTTTTACCAAGAGCCAATCAAAAAGGACCAACCAAAAGCTTAGGGTTAAGTTTTTTTTTTTTTTAATGTTTTTGAAAGAAGTTTCTTATGCTTGATCAAAAATAAAGTAAAAGTAGTAATACTGTAAAATATTATTATAATATAAAGCAGCATTTATTTCAATAGAAATTTGTTGTTACAATGTAAAAGTATTTACGGTCACTTTTGATCAATTTAATGCATCCTTACTGAATAAAAGTATGAATTTCTTTAAAAAAAAAAAACTTACTGACCCCACACTCCTAAAACAGTAGCCTTAAAAGCTATTATTGTTTAACATTATTTTCCAGCCTAGACTGTGTTTTAGGAAGATAAACAGTATCAATTAAATTTGATGCTGATTTTAGAATTAAGTCACTTCCACACTGACCAAATATAAGGTGAAGATAAGGTTCTTCTACATATTTACAGTAAGGTAAGATCAAAAGACCAGGCATAACAGACAAAAACATTTACCGAAAGGACGGTATCTGCGGAACCAGCAGGAGCGGCACTCCCTTCTTCCGCGAGGTCCCTGTCGGATTCTTCTGCGTTTTTCTCTGTTGTGCGGCTGAACCTTTTTTCCGCCCATTCTGGTTTTGCTGCAGCGGAGGCCCTAATGTGTATGACCTCTGACCTCTGTTACCCCTGCCCCCGACCAACCCGTTGTCTTTATCCCCCTCGGTCCCCGTGCCAGGAGGCGAGTGGTTCTCGCAATAAGCAGTCTTCTTCACAGTAAAAGTGGTGCCATTGGCGCCAGTCTCCCGCATGGGGTCGATTTTCATATAGAGCCCGGCTCTCTGGGCACAAGTGACGTGAAACGCCCTGTAGCAGTTCGCTTTGTGGCACTGAATAGACGCCCCCCTGCCTTTCTGTTTGCACAGGTAACAGGTGAGCTTCCATCGCGCAGGAGGAATGTTCTTCACTCCCTCCACAGGCTCCAGGAACACAGTGTTGGCAAAGCACACTTCAGGGATCCATATGGCACAGATGACGTGGGCCCAGCTTCCGTCACTGGTTTGCTTGAACGCACCTCCCCGATTGGGGCAGAGGACGCAATCGATGGGACGCGACGGGGACTGCAGACAGCGCCTGCACAGCCACTGGCCCTCAGGGATGTAAGGCACCCCATAACATTCCTGGTGCACGGCGAGGTTGCAGATGTCGCAGAACAGGATGACGTTGCTGTTGAGACACTCGTCGTCGAGGCAAACGCAACAGTAGGCATCTTCGTCGATGGTGCTCTGGGACAGCGTCTGGCTGCGGGACTCCAAAATGGACTCGCGCTCAAGTCGGTCAATCAGTAACTCGAACGTATCAGGGGGGACTGAAGCGTGTCCATCGGACACACGCTTTTGATTGACCATCTCTAGCCAAGCCATGTCCTCCTCATCCATGTCATACTCAGCTTCGTTGTCCAGCTCTTCCCCTGACTTCTCCATGTAGCGGTAATAAGCCACAGGAAGAGGAGGAGCCTCTGAAGCCGTGAAAGTGTCCACCTTATGAAACGTAGGCTTAGGCAAGGGGGTTTGGTTATGGGCCACCTGGTTTTGCAAGCTATACTGAGAGCTTGATTTCTTTTTGGCTGCGTGTTTGCCATCTTTCCGCTTGCTTTTAGATGCGGTCTGTTTGTTTCCCTGTCTCTGCTCGCTGTTCTCTTTGTTACTGTTGCATTCTGTCAGATCCTGAGCCAGCATCTCGTCTTCTGTTACAACGGAGAGCTGGTCACAGATGTTGATCCGGTGGAGCCGTCCTTCCAGCTCAATCTCCACCATTTTCTGAGCCTGTGCATATGTAAGTGTGTCTCTGGTCGTAGAGAAGTTCAGTCTGCATGGAGAAGGTGGACAGAGCAGAGCGTCTGTGTCAGCGTGGCTGGATGGACCAACCAGACCCTGATCCTTTCCTCTGACCATTCCTCTCCCAAAGCCTCCAGCCCTGGACTGGCCAACTCGTTTTCTTAACTTCCTCATTGGAGTCGTCCTCTATATAAATGTTAAAATATGAATGGACATAAGTACCTACAAAGATAAAAATAATAAATATATGTTACAAATATTGAGCAGATACTGCTAAAAAAAAACCTAAGACAAGAGACTACAGGTCAGTTTTCAGGACTTACATACACCATCAATATCTACATTCTGAAGGTTTTTACAGAAGAGATGGTTCATTTGCCTTGGAATTTGCTTGGTTTTGTAACATTTTATTTCCCGCCTGTTACAATATATTCTGATTTATGGAGCAATAAAAAATATCCAAAATCCTCTCTGTAAAAACCTTTAACAAGTCAACCAAATAAAACAATTCCTGCTCTTATCACTTTTTATAAAAAATAAAAAAATAAACGTGTATGCAAATTAGTGCATATAGGTAGTTGACAGATAGGCAATAAAAAATGCTTTTTTGTAAAAGACCATTTTTGAAGAAGAAATGCATATAGTGTGAAGCCTGATCTTTGAGAAAATATGAAGGGTCACTAACTTCGTCAATTCTTTCAATGTTTGTTTTTTTTAAACATTTTTACTGAACTGTACCATAAATCTGTCCTATGGTGTGACAACAAAAATTAAGAAAAAACCTCTTAATAATATACAAATAGCATGAGAGAGATTTATCTTCATTGTTAGACACTTATATTCATATAGTGTTACTTATTTAATATGAAATTATAATTAACATAATATTTTCCCCATGACTTATTGGACAATTTCAAGACAAACTTTGACAACAAGACAAACTTTGCTGTCATCCGTTCAAAACTACTGAAAATTATACCATTTTAGGATGAGTGATATTTGTATCTCCCCTATTGCAATACTCAACTGTTTTTTTTTTAGGATATTTTGAGATAAAAACAAATCAGTGGTTCTTTTATGTGTGTCACACCATAGGACATTACGTCACACTAAAGGACAGAAATTATAGTTAAATAAGTATTTCTATTTAATTTTGAACAGGTCAAAGGAGAAAGTGTAATTTTGATACCAACAATATAAACATGTTTTTTAAACAAAACAATATAATTTTCATCAACAAAATTCAGTCTCTTAGTCAATCAGTATGTTACTAAAACTCTTCTAGCCCCCACAATCCCTGTTAATGTTCTGTCTATATTTCCGTGTCCTCTTTCTTCCACTAATTTCTCTCCATAAATTCTTTGTTTCAAAAACAAAGTATCACATTTTATACTTATTTTCATGACACTTTATAACAGTACAGGTTTTTTGCAAAAACATCAGAAAATAGTTTAATTAATGCAATTATTGCATTTAAGAACATTGAAAATGATCAAAAAATAATTAAAAAAGGAGTTAAACAAATCTTATTTAATTATTTTAAATGCTTTTTAAAGAGACCTTGTCCTCTGGTGTGACATCTTTGTCCTGTGGTGTGTGTGACAGTACAGGCGTCACACCGGAGGACATTTTCTGTCACACCACAGGACGTTTTAGCCTTTTTGCGTAAATTGATGACCTTGCTATTCCAAGCTAACCTGTCATTAGCGGTTGGCAAGACAAATTTGCATCATTTTCCATGATTATGTAGTTTAACATACAGTTTTTAATTAAAAAATATAATTTAGGGGTGTCACACCAAAGGACAACAAAACGTAACACTTTTGTAGTGTTTCCAAAAAAGTTAAATATTTGAACAATTCTGAGAGAAAAATTACCTTCACAGGGGGCTTCAGTAACACGACCTTGAATGGGGTACTTCAACTAATTAAAGTTTTCTCTGGAATTGGCCGATTTAAAATCAGGATATGGTGTCACACCATAGGACATGGTTTTCAGAGACAAAATGTATCAAGTTCCTACGCTTTCAGAAATATATGGATGAAAAAAATGATTGCCATTTACTAAAATAGACAC